ATAATAATAATAATAATAATAAATGATGATGATGATGATGATGCTCTTGGGTGGCCAAACCATTGGCTCAAGTTAGATACTCTATTCAGCCTTCATGTGGCTGCCTTGGTGTTAGCTTACTAACTTGCATTAGTAAAACTCAGAACTGTGGTTTGTGCCACGTAGCTAATGGATCGTGGTGCTGCGTGAATGCGGACACTTGCGGCTTGGGTAATAAACCGTGCTTAACAAACCGTGGCTCAAGGCCACAAACCAGAATTGGCTAGACAAAGTCCACATGTCACTTCTCTGTTGCAAACCGGTGGCGGTTTTGATAAGCCTCTTTGTGAATTATATCTTAGTCCATCCATCACACGTAGTCTAACCATCACCTCGAAATGGGGTGGGAAAACTTTTCAAAGGACTGCATTTGCTTTGATAAATTTCATGGGGGGCGGGGACTAGATTTATTTATTTATTTAGACTCCCAGCTCCCTAAGACATACAACGTTAAATATATTAAGGAGCGATAAAAATAAGAAAAGAGCCATTTCCATTCTTAATGCACAATCTAATCATGTAAGCTCAACCATGACACACTACCCTCATTTGCACGCTAGGGGCAATGGAGATGGGGGTGTAAAAAAGGAAAGGAAATATGAGAGTTATGAGAATGCAATCACAGTTCCACCTCTCGTTCAAATGTGTTCCATGCACAACTCACTTAAAAAGGGGGTGGGGGATTGATTGCACAGCTGACTTTTTTGACTCCTGTAGATGACCCAGTACACCTATCACCTCTTTATTTTCCCTCTTGTTCAAATTTTTTTGCCTCCCCCTCCTCCCCATTTTTATACTCAAATCAATGATTTTTTTTTCTTTTTTTAAAAACCCTGTATTCTCGGAACAGCTCAAATACAGGAAGTTATATAAAAATGGATTAAATAGTAAAGAGACCGCACCACTTTAAAATATTTTTCTTTAAAAATAGGATTTTTTTTTTAACCTTTAGCTTTCCACGGTCATGCATTCTGCAGCAGCAAGAGCAAAGCAAGAAATGCTTCTTTTCAAGATGGCAAATTCCGACTTTTTAAGTACTGGCCTCCCAATTGGCTGATGGGCACCAAACATGCTTTAATCAAGAGAATTGCAACAGATGAGTCGCTTAAGTACTTTTACGGCATATTTATGCACTACCTACCCAAAAGAAAACCCAACCTGCACATAATTTCAATTTGCCACTTCAGCTGAAAAAAAAATAATAATACAAGGGTTGGAACTGGGACTTTGTTAAGCCTCTACTGTCTGGGAATTGTGACTTTCACCAGCAACTTCGAAGACTTGCCTACAATCCAATCATTCCCCCCCACACCAAACTGTTCTGATTTTCAATCTCTTACAGCATTTTAGTTCCCAGCAGTCCCTTCATTGGTGCACACCCAGTGAAATGACCCCTTGACGGGGTGGAAAAATAAGGTGCGCCGTTCTTCGAAATTGGCCAACACATTTCAACTCTGGAGAAAGGATGTCCAAGGTCGGGTGGGACGGGAGGGAAGGAAGAATATATTCCACTGTTCTTCCCGTTGTGTTGATGGCTCTTGAACCCTTGCACAGTGCTATTGTTATTGCATCAAGCGCTGGCTTTTGTTCGGTGAGGAAAGAAAAGAAATAAGCCGAGGAAAGAATACAGCAAAACATTCTGCAAGTTTTCTTTTCTTTTTTCTTTTTCTTTTGACTGTAACACTTACAACCTTGGGAAGGTTTATGTTAATGGATTGTGAAAGGCCCGCCTCTCTTGAGGCATAATAATATACTTAAAATATACTTAGTAGCACACCCTGGAGGTACGAAAAAGATTTCCAACTCTTGTGTTTTTAAGTAAAGAAACATTTCATTGCTTATTTTGACTTTTTGCCTGAGATCAGCTGCAAAAGTGCTTCTGTGGAGGAAGAAGTACGGCCAAATTCAACGTTTTGTTCAAACAAAGCAAAGAAACACACACACACATGCACACTCACGGTCTAAAAAAGTGCTGTGTTTTTGTTTTGCATAGGCATTTGTGAGTCCTTTCTAAATTTACCCTTTCTGTCAACAATCCCCTGAAGAGAAAATAATGATTGAGGCTTGAAATTCATTGGCCAAGACGGCATTAGAGTCTCAGACAGTCCAACCCAACTTGAATGCCATCCAAGAGCAAGCCGTGGGACTAGACCGAGCTACCTGGAGGGTGCCAGGTTGAAGAAGGTTAGAGTCACATCTACCAGGAGAAGGGGGGAAAAATCCTTCCTAAGACTTGCCTTTCCTTCCGATTTTTCAAACCATTCTGCGCTTAGCAACTTTGAAAAACTTTCAAAGAAAGGCTTGCTTGATAAGCATCAACTCATGATGACTTGCTTTATACGGGTTGTGCAATAAGGATCCGAGGAGGGGTGCCAGGACACATCGCAGTGAGACAGAGGATGGGCATTTCTCAAAGTTGCACTATGCAAAGGGACAAACACTTTGCGCCAGGGACAGAACAGCTAAATGCCAAAGAGGGCCTTTCCTTCTGCAACCCAATAGACCAGGGTTCCTCAACCTTGGCAACTTTAAGACAGGTGGACTTCAACTCCCAGAATTCGGGGAGTTGAAGTCCATCCGTCTGCTGGCTGGGGGATTCTGGGGGTTGAAGTCCACCCGTCTTAAAGTTGCCAAGGTTGAGGAACCCTGCAATAGACCATATTGCCACCTCCGGGTCTTGCCATGAAGGCCAAGCCTTCCCTCCTCTTCTAAGGACATGGACAACAAAACTCTGAATCATTGTTGCCTTGTGGTGTGTGTGTGTGTGTGTGTGGGACATATACTAATTACAGCCCTTTAAATTTTGCTGAATGTCCATCGCCAGCAACCGTGACCATCAGGAAGGATGCTACGAGTGTTAATTCAACTGTATCCAGAAGACTACAGACGTAGGTACCTCCTCCCCTGAACGGTGTGAAAACGTCAGAGGGCCAAGAGAATCATTTTCATGCAAATAATCAAAGAATTTGGATGCACCAGACCCTCATCTTAAGCAGGCCATCTCAGCAAAGGGGCAAACTCTTGGATGGTTCCACCATCAGGCTGTGGTGTCTTCATCGGTTGCAGCAGGCCCTCTCCATTAACGGGGCCTAGGAGCCAGTTTGCCACACTGGCTCCTAGCCAGTTCGACACGCAGCAAGCCCCCTTGGAGAGTTAAGCCTTGCAGTGCTGTAATGGCACTTTCAGCCTCGGATTTATCACTGTAGCTGAGAAAGGCCTGGTGTTGTGCACCACGCCAGGTGAGCCTCGCTGGGGTCACGTGGTGCTTTCGGAGGGCATCCTTTAGCTCACTCACCCTGGTTCTGGGTGGGATGCTGCCAATGTAGACAGTGGCAGGAACATTGAGGTGGCCTCTTTCATCTGATACAGCCCCCTCTTCTTGCCTTGGTTGGACCAAGCGGGTCTCACCCTGCGACTTGAGGCTTCCTGGACAATTCTCATGGGCTACTCTTGGTGACTTCCCAGCGGTCAAAGTATCAGGCTGTTCACCTTTGAGGAAAACATCTTTGCCTTCTTGTTTCTCTCTGCAATGAAGAATCTTGAGGACTGGGATTTTTTTCAGCACTTCATGACTGATCTAAAAGGAAAGGAAAGGAAATATACAGAGAGAGAGAGAGAGAGAGAGAGAGAGAGAGAGAGACATACACACACACATTAAACAATTTACAGTGTAATGATTATACCTCCCATAATATACCCTGGGGGAGATGGGCGACATATACATTTAATAAATAAATAATAAATAAATAAATAAATACCACCCAACTTTTCCAGTAGCATCACGAGGACACCAAGAGATGCTTAAAATAAGGCCAATTACTCTTACAAGACATTGCCAGGAAGGACTGCATATATATCACAAATGATAGAGGAGAATCTTATAACACGTTGGCCTTTTTTGCAGCCTGTAATCAGAGACTCTGAGCATTACCAACTGCCCTGTTGAAACCCCATTGTCCTTGCAACGGTCTGTGCAGAAAGGAGCAGCATGAAAATATTACTAAAATACTATTCCGTGCCTTGTTTACCTGAGCTGTCATTGCCAAACACAGTTCTCTGTTCTTCTCATCCTTATAACCCTCTGAGATTGTCTGGGCTAGGAGATACAGGTGCCTGTCAAAGCTTCATGGCTGCGGGAGGATTCAAACCCAGGTTTCCTAAGTCTTAGTTGATGTTGAAACCATGTTCACTCTTCATGAATAAGGTTGCCTCTCCCCATCAGATTTTAGCTAGGGGAGAAAATCATTGACCTCTCAGCTAATTGTTGCATAGTAGGTTTAGAAGGACATCTTTGTAACTGAGAGGTCCCCGTTTGGGAGATCCTTCAGCAACCTCTGATGTGAATGAGAAGGTACCAGCTTTGTTGTGTTTCTCCCGTTGTCCAAATCTAGAAGAACGTTCCTTGCAGAATGGATAAATCCATGGCCACTTGCTTGTCCATTCTGTTTTTATTTGTTCCCTGCTCCTCTTTAAAAAAAGAAAAAAGAGGAACTTAAGGGAAGTTGAGTTATACGGTGCGCAGACCAACTCTGGGTGAAGATGCCTCATCTGCTTTCCCCAACTTGCTGCCCAGGGGTTGTGCTGGCTGGAGGATGATGGGAGTTGTAGTCCAACCAATCTAGAAAGTGCCGGTCTTGGGTATGCTGCTCTGAAAAAAAATGTTCTTGGGGGTGGGGTGGGGAAAGCATCCTCCCCAAACCGCTCTTCTGCCAGTGTTGACATTTATCCTGAAATTCAACTGGCAATTCTGAACGTGAAGAAGGCAAGATCACCTACAGTTGTGAAAACTTACACAGGGGAGTGAAAATAAAAAAGGGGAGGATCCTTTTAGAAAAACGTAACCATCCCACTGCTGCATATGTTGAGAATTCCTCTGCTGACATGTCTTCAAAAATGCCAGATCAGGTAGCATTTGCCATTCAAATGAAAGTCGCTGTATTTTTCTTTTCCCTTTTCCTCCTTATTGGGAGGAAGTACTAAGGCGGGGTGGGAGTTCACAGGAGACTCGTCCTCATCCAGATCACTGGCCAGAGAGGTATCAGTGCTGTGATCAAAAAGAATGTGTTAAATCAAGGAAACAGATGGCAGAGCCTGGAGATAGATCTTTTGCCCCCGGGCAGATTGTAAGCTTTCATCTCAGGTTCTCTGATAAGTGCAGATCGGCAGGATAAATGGGCTTGACTGCAGACCAGTCCTGTCTGCTGGAGTGTCAAAATCAGCACCAGGATGAAAGGGTCTCTGGAGCCTTTGCCAGAACCTGGCAGATTTCCCTTGTGATTAGAGGCGAGGGAGCCAAAAACGCCCAAGAACATATTTATGGAGATCGAATTCCAACACCAGAGGAGTGATGTGCATGTGTGCCTGTGCGTGTGTGTGTGTGCATGCAAAGCAATGGGGAGAGATGGAAGGGAGACAGGAACTCCCATGTTTGAGCGCAGTAGCACCCAAGGCCGTCCTTGATAGAAATAGGAAGGAAGGAAAGAAAGCCCACATAGGAAATCTAGCTAGGTAGACGTCAGGCCTTGGGCCAAACTGTTGGTTAATGTCAGTTCCCAGGGACTTCTCCCCTGCTTGGTTTCATGGGCAGCCCAAAGAGAGCAGAAGCCACCCCAATGTGCTTCAAGGAACAGCTCTGGCCACACATCTTCTGAAGACGGTTCAGAATCCTCCGCTGGTCTTGAAATGAAGCAAGGAAGATTCTTCTGTGGTTCATCTGAGTTTCACTTCCCCAACAGGCACAACTTTGTCATCTTGGCCATCCCCTGATACAGTTCTAAAACAGCCTTGGAGAAGGATGCTGGTCTGTCTGCTAAAAAAGGGGGGCCATTGAGGACAAGGGCGTATGGATTTCTTTTGCCAGGAATTTCCATTCCCTTTTTTCCTACTGGTGATCAACTTCATATGGTGGGGTTGTCAGTTTCACAATGTTCCTCTTTCCTCTCCACAATCTCGTTCTGCACTACTGGACATTTATCAGCTTGCGTTGAGGCATGGTCACTCACGACTGAGTCTTTTCTTGCTTTTCCTTCAAGCAAAAAGCTTTCTGCAGAGGAGGAAGGCAAGGTGGACATCTTTTCCACAGTCCAGAAAACAATTTGCACCTCTCCACAAAATCCAGCGCTTGACACATCAGGTTGATAAAGGGACAGCACTCGGGTGTATCTCTTTCAGGAGGAAAGCGAGCCAAAATTCCCAAGCCCAAAGCACGTAACATTTGACTCCTTCTGATAAGAAGAGACATTCCTCTCCTTAAGAGGTGGGAATGCCTCTCAAAATGCATCTTTTTTCAATTTCTAATGTTTATAATACCTACATCTACAGTTTGTCAGTGTTTCTCAACCTTGGCAATGTTAAGATGTGTGGATTTCCACTCCCAGAATTCCCCAGCCAGGCATGCAGGCTGGGGAATTCTGGGAGTTGAAGTCCACGTATCTTAACGTTGCCAAGGTTGAGAAACACTGGTTTAAGTGATACATTTCAGCTTGGTTCCATATCCTACGATGTAGGCTTATTTGCAGAGCACGGAATGCCAAAGTGGAGAGATGCTTTGGGAATAGGAACCTTTTCCCATCCCATAAGAAGCTAAGCTTCAGAGGAAACCTGCCTTATGCCACATGATTCCCCAAGGCTTTGGCCGTTTGCATTCTGTCTTGATGATTCTTGTTGGGGTAAGGATATAATCGACAGTTAGATCATGGTCATCCAGAAGTTCTTCTGGGATATCCACTACCTAGGGAGAAGAGGAGAGATGCCAATGTGTAGGTTGAATCACACTGGGGTCCTTGTGACACTACAGCACTTCCCTCGCACCATTTCCCACATCTGGAGACCCTCCAGGAATATGGACTTCAGTTCTGGAGTTTCCCAGCCAGCCTGGCCTTTTCTCACACTCTGGAAGTTGACTTTCATGGATCAACTTGAGTAGGTGTCCAAGTTGGGGAAGGCTGATTTAGGGTTCTAATGATCAACACCAGAACCTTGACTTGGGCCCAGAATACTGGACAGTAGATGAAGTTGTCTTAGGCAGAACCAGAATAGAGTCCAACTTGCTCCGAATGATTAATCTTAGCCAGGAGAAAGCTCTCCAGCATTGCAGGCAAAGAAACTTGGACCTTCTGAAACAAATTGTGCTTGATGTTCTACCTCAGTGAGCACCAGCTCTTCTAATGGAGCTGGTGCAGATGATACAGTATTGGAATCCTGACTACAGATTACACTATAGATTACGCTAAAATGGCACACCGCTGCTTTTCTGGAAGCCAGTGGGCAGAGGGCCTCAGAGCCACTCTCTGTCGCTGATCAACGTGAGCTGGACCACCACGTCCTTTTATGAGAAATGTTTAGCTTAGACCAGTGTTTCTCAACATCAGGAATTTTAAGATGGGCAGACTTCAACTCCCAGAATTCCCCAGCCAGCACTTGAAGTCCACACAACTTGAAGTTGCTGAGGTTGGGAAACACTGCCTTAAATCTCTCTTTCCCTCCTTTCCAAAAGTTTTTAGCCCCTGCTTTCTATCTCTTGCCATAACCATTACCTGACAATCATGGACAGCTGTGACCACCATTGTACTCTGTCCTATGGCTCCCATAGAAACCATCATGGCATATTCCATGTCTGCGAAGCCTTCTCCTTTCCCGATCCGCCAGCCTACAGTAAGAAAAGGGAGCACCTGTCTGAAACAGGCATGCAAAAACTGAGTTATAGATGGGCAAAAAGGAAGGAGAGGAATCTCTCAAGGTGGTCCTGATATGCAAAGTGGTCGTTGCACCTCATCAAATTCCCTCTGAAATTGTCCTCCAGAGAACTGGCAGCCCGTCATTTTACTGGGAGAGGCCAAAACAATCTCAAATGTTAGCAGGGACTAAGATGAAGAAACAAAGCTTGTGGCCTGCATGGAAGAGAGAAATTGATCTCTTCGAAGGGGTTGCATGCCGCTTATAATTCTGAAAAGGGTTTGCATAAACATCTCTTTCTTTTCACATGCTCGGATCAGGTCCCAGCTGCTGGTGCTGAAGTTTGCACACAATAAATCCCAGCTTTCTGCAAGAATAGCTTGGCAAGCTTTCAAGACAAATACAAATAAAGGGCTCACTTGTTTCTCCTTGTCATGACTGATCCCCCCAAACCAAGGACTTAAGCCACCTTGTCAGAACTATGGTTTATGTTTTAGCCCTAACATTATCCTTAGAAACTCATTTCTTCATTTCTGGATTTTTAAAAAAATGTGTATACTGTGTATTAGTATGATGGCATTGCTCTGAAGGTGACATAACTTAGGTCCAGGCACAACCCTTTGCCCCAGTCCACCAATGTACAAGACAGAAATAATCCTTATTTTCCCCAAGAATTGATATTCAGTGGTAGACTACTTCTGAACTGAAGGTTGTTATAGTGGTACCTCGGGATACGAACGCCTCTGCGTGCAAATTTTTCGGGTTACGACCAGCTCCGGCCCCAAAAATTTACCTCGGTTTGCGAACTCCGCCTCGGGGTACGAACCAGATCGGCGGCCATTTTCCACCGTGCCGCGTGGTCCGTGGCCATTTTCACGCC